AAGGGCATCAATTCTTCTATCATCCTTAGTCATAATGCATAGCAAGTGATTGGAAAGACCATGGCCTGAATCAGATGCACCTTAGTCTTCAAACTGAAATTATTACTTTTCAGTAATTTGGATAGGTCTCTGACTTCAGACTTTTCCTAGTGCAGTAGAGCTCCTTATTTCCTGACTGCTGGTACCAAGGATGTTAATTGTGGAACCAAGCAAGATGAAATTGTTGACAATTTCAATCTTTTCTTCATCTATCATGATGCTCCCTATTGTTTCAGTGGTACGAATTTTTGTTTTCTATAACAGTGGCTATAGATAATATAGTGAATGATCTAGGATGCATCAAGAGAAGGTAGAGTGAATATACAGAGTCACTGTACCAAAAAGAATGGACTGACACTGGAAAATTTTACGAAGTACCATTTGAGTAGGAGCCAATTGTAATGAAGCTGCACTGAAGGCATTAGCAAAAAGTAAGGTCTCAAGAATTGATGGGAATCAATTGACATGTTTCACTTAACAGATACAGCCCTGAATGCACTCACGAGGAAGTTTGGAGAACAGCTGTCTGGCCAGTGGATTGAAAGAGATCCATGTTTGTTCCCATTCCCAAGAAAGTGATCCAATAGAATATGGAAATCATGGAACAATGTCATTAATGTCACATGTAAGCAAAATACTGCTGAAAATCATTCAGAAACAGCTAGAATAGATATGGAACTGCCAGAAGTTCAACCAGGATTTAGAAAAGGCCATTGCACGAGGTATTGCTTGTGTCATATGGATCCTGGCTGAAAGTAAGGAATACCAGAAGAATGTATTTTTATGCTTTATAGACTAGGCAAAGGAATTTGCAAGTTATTGCTAACACTAGAAGAATGAGAATCGCAGAACATTTAATTGTTCTCATGCAAAACCTATACCCACACCAAGAGGCTGTTGTGTGAATAGACCAAAAACCACTATGGTTTAAAATTAAGAATGGGATGTGTCATGGTTATATCCTCTTTCCAGCCTATTCAGTCTGTGTGCTAAGTAACTTATTCAAGAGGCTCGAATCTGTGAAGAATAATGTGCCATCAAGATCAGAGGAAGACTCATCAATAGATTGTGTTACGCAAATAACACAATCTTGCTTGCAGAAAATGAGGAAGACTTGAAGCACTTGCTGGCAGAAAACGAAAGAATGAATGCATCCTTCAATATGAATTGCATGTCAATGTTGTTGTTGGTAGGTTCTGTCAAGTTAAGTATGACTCATAGCAACCCTATGAACAAAAGATCTGAACCCTATTCTATTCTGTGCTGCTGTCCTTATACAAGAAACTACTGAAGCATTCATTGTGTAATCCACCTGGTTGAGGGTCTCCACTCCTTCCTCAAGAAAACCAAAATTCTTTCCACTAGACCTTATAGATCTAGTATAGTTTACTCATTAGCACAATTAAGTGGTCTGGGTTTCCCATTCTTTTCAGTGATAGCCATCATTTGTTATGATTCACACAGTCAGATGCCTTTACATAATAAGTAAAGCACAACATCCTTCTGGTTATTCTCTGCTCAGCCAGGATACATCAGATGTCAGCAGTGATATTTCTTGTGCCGAGGCCTCTTCTGAATTCAGCTTGAATTTCTGACAAGTCTCCTGTTGGTGCACTGTTGTAGCCACTTTTTAATCATCTTCAGGAAGATTTTATTTGCATATGTTTTTTGATGATATTGTTTGACAATTTCTACATTCTTTTGCATCATCTTTCATGTGAATGGCAACAGATAATGGATCTTTTCCATTCATTTGGCTGAATTGTTGTCTTACATACTTGTTGAAAGAAACTGCACTGCAATCCCAGAGGCATGAGGTTCAAATCCACCAGATACTCTAAAGTGAAAAAAAAAAAAAGAAAAAGAAAAGAGAACGAGAGACTGGTGAACATATCCAAGGTTTTGTTTGTTTCCTGAAAACACCTCAATTGGTATTCCCTCAGTTCCTGGGGCCTTATTTTTTGCAAGTGCCTTCTTCAGTGTAGCTTGTATTTCTTGCTTCACTTCTCTTGGTTTTGATTATGTGTTGTTGCTTCCTGAAATGATTCAGCATTGACTAATTCTTTTTGATAAAATAACTGTCTTCCTTCCATTTATTTTGATGCTTCCTGCATCACTTGAGATTTTGCCCATAGAATCTTTCCGTGTTGCTACTCAATGCTTGAATTTGTTCTTTCAGCATGAGAATTGCCCTTCTGATTGTCTAACCCCAGTCCTGTGCACACTTCATTATAATACTTTGTTGTCTTGCTCTACCCTTTGAAATCTTGTGTTTAGCTCTCTTACTTCAGTATTCTTTTCCTCTTGTTTGGCTTCTTTTCATTCGTGTCAGTGCAAAGTTCAGAGTCTTCCATTTTGACACTTGCTTTTTTTTTT